GGAGAAATCGGAGACCAAAGAGGTTTTACTGCCGTTAGATCGGTAATAGACAATATATTTACATTAAAATTATAGAAAAGAGAAAAAGGAAAGGTATGGAAGTTCATCTGAGTTTCATTGACCATCAGAAGGCGTATGACAATGTACCTGTTGCCAAAGTATGGGAAGAAATGCATAGACTTACAATCAGTGAGAACTCAATTGGAAACACACAGAATCTGTATAAGAACAACATCTCTCAGATTTACAGTAGTCAGTGGAGGACTTCGACAGGGTTGCTATCTTTCCTCAACGCTGTTTAAAATATATTTACATCAAATTTTACAGCAGTGGGAGAACCAATGCCGAATAATGGTCATAACAATCGGGGAGGATACATTTTGTGGCTCCGCCTAAGAGCTATGAGTAGAATCTATTTACGTATAACAATGCATACCTTTGTCGCCGAACCTACAATTTGACATACGTTCGCAAAAGATGTTAGTAATGTCAATAGAGACGATTACTTTTCACAAAAGAGCGTTTAAAATAAAATAAAATTGGTTCACGGGAGTTTATTATTCATCAACGGTCGTGATTGTACAATGATTAAAAAACTTTTGTATTAAGTACTTCGCGCTCAAAAAGACATAAAAATATACAAACAACCTTATCGTAAGAAAATATATTTTATGTTGAAAAAATACAGAGGTAGAAAAATTTTGTCTAATATAGTGTCCAGGAAGTAAGGACGAATTTCAATTTTGCGCCATTTTATCATATGATTGGCAACCCTGGTTTTTTCATGTTTGTTGACTGTTATCTTTTCCATTGGTATCCTGATAGCTTTTGTGTGGTGAGCATTGTTGTTTGATGTTTATTTTCATCGTGGAGCAAAAGAATACTGAGCAACGCATCCAGGTGATAAAAAGTTATTACAAGAACAGTGAAAGTCCCACCTCAATCGTTCGTGAATTGCGTGTGATACTCGAACGTAATGCTGCTCCAACAGAATCGTCAGTTCGGAAGTTGATCCGGAAGTTTGAGACCACGGGTTCTGTGTCCATCGTTAAGAAAACAGGACAACCGCGTACTGTTCAAAATAAAGAAAACATTGTTGCCGTGCGTGACAGTGTGACCGTAAGCCCCAGAAAATCGGTTCGCCGACGAGCTCAACAATTGAATTTATCACCAAGTTCACTGCATATCATCCTTTCAAAAGACCTGAAAATGCATGCGTACAAGATTCAATTTCCACAAGAGTTGAAGCCTACAGTTCATGGAAAGAGACGTCGATTTGCTCAATGGGTCTTGGATCGATAAGCGGAGAACGAAATCTTCACAAAAAGAATATTTTTTTTCAGATAAGGCTCACTTCCACCTCAGTGGATACGTCAATAAGCAGAACTGCAGAATTTGTGCTAATGAAAATCCTGCAGTGTCTGTGGAAGATGAGATGCATCCACAACGCACGACTGTGTGCTGTGGGTTCTGAGCAGGAGGCGTGACCGGCCCGTTCTTTTTTGAAGATGATGATGGAGGAAAAGTTTCCTCAAAAAATTTCGTCTTTGCGTGGCAACCAGGAATGGCCTGCCAGATCACGCCTTGTGACTTTTTTGTGTGGGGATAGGTGAAATCAAAAATGCACGTAAACAAACCCCGGACAACAATCAAATTGAAGAATGAAATAACAAGGGTTAGTGAAGGCATCCCTCCAGATGTTTGTGAACGCGTCATCGCTAACTTCAATAAACGCATTGCTCGTTGCCGCGCGGCCTTGGGTGGTCATATGGGGGATATAATTTTTCATACATAAATGGGAGAAGTTACTTAATGTGTTTGTAGAAACAAAAATACATTTTCAATCAATTATATATGTTCTAGAGCACTTTAATATTCGTCCTTATTTCCTGGACATTCTTTATTAATTAATAAAGAAAAATCTTTTTACTTAAAACTGCTTCGAAGTAACATAGTTATCGGCCTTTATATTTCTTTTTCTCTTCAATTTCTGAATATATCGAACACGCCCACATAAAATGGCGCCCCCGTTTCGGCTTGGCTGCTTCACGCGTAGAGAGAAAGTCTTCTCGAAGGAGGCTGACGCACGAAAAAGAGGCGTCGAGCGGCGCCGACCTACCCGACGCGACGCCGTCAGCTGCGGCGGCGGCGGCGGCCAGACGGCGGCGGCATCGATCGGATGCTGCGCAGTGGCGCCGGTCCAGCGCCGCCCCCGCCACCGCCACCGCCTCCGTCTCCGCTCCCTCTCGCCACCGCCCCCTTCGCATCCTTCCCCTCTCGCCCTCGTCCCCCCTCGACCCCGCTTCCACTTCCACCAACGCCCCCCCGTTTCCGTCCCCACTTCCACCTTCACTCCCACCTCTGACCCTGCTGCCTCTCCCTCCCTCCCTCTCTCTCTCTCTCTCTCTCTCTCTCGCCTCCTTCCTTCACCTCCCTCCACGCCTCCGCACACACCCATATGCTTCGCCTCCGCCCCCGCTTCCACCCCTACCCGCCATCGCCCACGCCCAGCAGCCGTCGCCCGTCTTCACCACCAGCAGTGGGCCCTTTCAGCGTCTGCAATTCGCCACCGGAGCGCCATATACTAAATTGGACGGGTAATCCAATCTTAAGGTAATGGCACGACCGTAACCTAGAGGTCAGGTGGGTTTCTTTTTTAAGGAACCGGGATTCTAATCCTGAACACTTGGAGTTTTGTGTTGAGTTTATTGAAATGGGTTTACGAAAGGAGATTTCGTTACTTCTGCAAACGTAAAACTTATAAATGTCTTTTCATCATATCATCATATTCATCAAACAAGTTTTTTAGCACGTACTCTCAGGAAGTACAGTACAAAGAATGACCATAAAAATAACCAAATAAATAAGGTAATATAAGGAAAGTAGCGAGATCTCATGAGGAGATGGGTCGTACAACAGCACAAACTTTATCACATTATTTCTAAATCTTTTTGCTTTTTTCTTCTTTTTTTTGCAAACTTTCAGTTGGTTCAACAAAAATAGAACCTGCGCTGTAAGCGTGTCGCGGCTGATGCGCCGCTGGTGGGAGATATCTGGTTAGGGAAAATCCCCTAATCGAAATTTCTTTCTTTTAATTACGATCATTTTTATCGAAATCAATCTGCAGCGCGATTTACTTGGTAATTCAATTGTTGACTTAAAGATGTCAACATCAATGTTGCCAACGCCGTGAAAGAAAATTATATTGCGAGATATACTTTTGGATACTGGTGTTTAATCAACGCCACCTACATTTATCTACTTAAGAAGTGTTGGTTTAATTTCTGGTATTATGAATGGCACTTCATACGTCTCAATTGGTATGGTCGCACGGGAAGTAGTGTAGAGGCAAGCGACGGAATTGCACACATACGCACAGTTTCACTAAATTACTGTATAGGGATAACACAAAATAACGACAAAACTACTCACATTTCCGCAAAATTGGTCATGCACATTAAATATTTGTAAATGAAGATTATCTTTCGTTGAAGAAAAAATATTATTTCCAATATTGCAGCTGAAAGAAATGGTCGAAAAAATCAACATTTGCATTGATCGAAAATTCAAATGTAGTTTAACGAAAATGTGATTCAAGATATTTTTATAAGCGCACTTGACTGCGAGTACGAAAATGTAGGGGTTTCAAATTCTCTGCATTTTCAAAAAATGCAAATGTTAAAATGGTAAAAATACAATACTATTGATATAGATTTTATCCTTAATTAAATACGTTCTAAAATTCTTATTTAAGTATCTGTTTAATATTATGAACAACATATTTTTGAAAGCGCGAGTAAGTTTCGAATAACCTCCGCTTAAAGTAAAGTAAAGGCAATTTATAAGAAAACGTTTACTCAAAAACGGCTTCTGATTTTTTCTTTACTTTTTTCCCTTCGGATAGAGGACAGATCGCTTCAATATGGCGCAGTTCTCATTTCGTTGAACTCTCTTAATTTTTCACAAATTCTAAATGTTGCAAATACCACCAATCGACGTCTGTGCTGTTGAATCACTCCTAGTTTCGATTGAGTTCGAGCAATTAGTCCCGTACTTGTAGTGGATGTTTTCGCCCGGGAGGTAGTGGCGATCTTTCCCCGCTGGATGGGGAGACACCTGCAATAGGCTAGCGGGGTTTACCCAAACCAGGTATCTCCCTCGAGGGGGGCATCGCCCCAGTTCAGCGTTCCCGAATGGCCTCCCGACATGTGGTAGGGTACGGCATCTTACTGTGTGTGCAGGTAATGGATGCGGATGATACAAGAGAGAGGAAACGAAGATAGCACTCGGTCCGTGGCCCGTTTATTGGGGTATGCCCCGGCATTTTCCTTATGTTGATTGGAGAAACCACGCAAAACTACCTATCAGAGCAACTGGCGGCTAGAATTCTCCTCCAGCGACTGAACTCCACCTAAGTAGATAGTGGCGAAACGCCTTCCACAGTCGGGACTCAAACCTAGGACCTCCCGGTAAGACGCACAGAAGTGACATCACCCTTAACTATCTTTCGCAGTGCAAGGTTCGACATCACGGCCATCCAATACGAGTTTTTCTAACGAAAATTCACCACTTTTCATTGCAGCATAACAATACTCTCTCGTATTACTACGTACATGCGTAGTAGATAAGAAAGTAAATTGTGAATTCTACACATGTTGATGAGTGTGCTAACATTGTTGTATAAGAAATGCTCTCTTGTGGATAATAAGAATGTAAAATTGTAGGTACACGTAGATAGATGCCCCTGTGCTGATGATTGGTAGAGGGTCAAATAGTAAACAAAAAGTGCGCGGATGCTGTCGAGTTAACTATGTTGCAACTCTGTTAAAGAAAACGCGCAGGAACACGAAGAACTTATTCGGCGCCGGTATTTCGTGAGCATTTATTTGATTAGGTTTATTTAAAGATTGTTTTGTGATCTGGACTGTCTTCGAGAGGCCGCGTACATAGTACTTTTATTTCTTAGATTGTTACAAATCTGATATGTAACTTGTAAATAAAACATTAAGGGTAACAGAATGATATTCAAATCATACAAAGTACGTATTTATATAATATTTTTTGGAAGAAGGCATTACAAAAAATGTTAAAAGAGTCACAATAAGGCTGCATTTATGATTACAGCCACTAAACTCTAAATATTTCTTGAATGTAACATTTGTACAAGATAATGCAAAATCAGAAAAATTATGCTGTTTTATTATGAAATAAAATTGAAGTCTTTGGAATGAAGTGAAATTGAAGTTCTCTAACACGCTCTCTGGTTCTTCCATTCCTGAACGCCTGTAGATTGCCGTTGAAACAGCGCTGAGAACGGAAGACATATGGAGCCATATGGAGGTTCGCCAGAACAGAGGCACGAAGTTGAGAATGATAGTTTCACTCTCTGACGCCTGGCATGAATCAACACGATACATTTTTACCACTAAAAAAAGATCTGAAACGTGAAAGATGTGCAATATCAATGTGAAGGACTGCATACACAATTTTTTTCTTCAAGAGCATTCAACTTAAGGAATCAGGGTGTCTCACCGAAAAGTCAAAACAACGCGTAGTAATGGCTTACTTTCCTTGAAAATCCAGTAGATGGTAAAAAGAGCTCCAATTACATCATAAATGCCTATTTTCCCCAACAAACATGGAACAAATTACTCACTAATGGCACAGGAATAATTTAACAGCTACTGTAAGCCTAAACATACGTTTGCTTGGGAAGGATAAACAAGGTCAGTCTACAATAACGCAATGCTGAATGATAACGCAATTCTGGACACTTTAGACGGAATTAAGGAATAATAGTTCATCCATGTAATCGTAATTTGGCCTTGCAATATTATATTTATCATATTATTGCAAAATGAAGTAATCCACGCATTTCATAAAACAACTTCATTACTACAGCTTTGTTTAAATCGGTGGCATCAATTAAATATTGAAATTACATGTCCAATTTCAATTCTGTACTGTTGCATGTACGTAGCAAAGATTTTTCCACAGCACTACCACACTGTCATGCCACCTTTATTACAAAGGTAAATGTTATTTTCGCTCATCAATGTAGGATCTTCAAAAAGACTTTTCTAAACGGAATGTGTAACTCTACGCCTCGTACATGTACTTCAATATTAATAACAAAGATGAATGAAAAAAAAGTCCTACTTTCGACGAATTAACGAAAGTTCCCCTAGCCAATAACCGCGAAGCAAGTGTTGTTTCTTCACGTCCTTTCGCGCGCTCTCTTGACTTCCGCGACGAGGGTCTGCGGTTGGCATCGCGCGAGAGGCCCTGCCTTTCACCTGCCCCCGCCCGTGCCCTTGCGACAGCCGCTCCGAACGACGCCGTTTCGAGTCCGCGCCCGCACACAGTGCAGCGTGCAACAGAAGCAAAAGTCGAAACCTACGGGTTTATTTATTGACGTTTATTTTCAACATCTAAGCACCGCTTTAGGTGGCTCAGAGCATTAATTAATGGCACTGCAGTGCCGATGGCCAGGAGATACAAGGGTTCGAGTTGCGGCTGGTGGATGCATCTTTACTGGCTCCAATAATTGGAGCTGCTGACTTGTCTAGGTCGAGAAGATTCAAATCATGACGTATGAGGCAGATGATAACATTATCGATTCGTATTTGTGTTAGGCTGTTTCTTAGTAGATTTTCAGTCTTCCAATGAAGCTAAATCTCTGCTTATATTGGAATATATGTCGCTTTGAAGAATATATGTCGCTTTGAATGATGGATAGATTTAGTTTAGTTAATATGTCGTTTACCTTAATACTAGAAAATGAAATTAGAAAAAACTACTTAATGTACTTGAAATATTGATTCAAACTCCCCCAATAACTCGAAACGCGCATACGAATATGTAAATTTCAAGTAACAACTGCAAGTATTATTTATGCTCTAAGATAAAATCCTGGCCTCCCTTTCAGCCTGAAATAGTGGCTACACTTCCGACTCAAGTGTATGTTGGTACACGGACCGCCCAGGGGTCCGTCGGTTTTTCTACCGAGCATAGTGCAGTGCCGGCCTCCGATCCAGTGTTCATTGACGAAAACGGCTTCCCTTAGCCACGTGTACTCGCGCCCGCGTTTCCCTGAACCACCCTGGAAATCAAAACACTACTTCATGATTACGTTATTCCCTTGTTGGAATGTCACGAACTGAGACGCTGACCCCGTCACCAAGGAATGCACTTCCAAACGACTCAAAGTGCACGGCTGTGTTTAAACACCTGCGCATTCGAACCTGGGGGCGCTGGGTGGCCCTCCCTCGCCGCACGCGCGCTGCGTGAGCGGTGACCCCGTGACCCGACCGCGCAGCATCCCTTCCGCCTCCGCCTCCTCCAGCTCCGCCGCGTGTTTGCGCCGTCGCAATCCTCCGCTGTGTGCCTCGTCTGGGGCCGCTGGGCGTGCGGTGGCAAGAGACGAGATCGTTCGTTCCCAAGGCCCGACCCCCGAAGGCCGCACCGCTCCGCTCGCGCACCACGTGACGCGCAAAAAGCCCCGCTTGGGCACCCGCGCCCGCCGCCGCCGCAGCGCAGCGCAGCGCGCCGCCTCCGCCTCCGTCGCAGCCGTGCGGGTCGATAGCGAGAGCGGCGGCGGCAGGAGCGAGCAGTGCGTGGCCCGGCGCGCGGGCGAGGCGGCATGACGGACGCGCGCCCCAACGGCTGCGGCGTGCGCCGCTTCCACGCCCTGGGCGACGCCGTCCCGGGCGCCGACGACGGCGACGACGACGTCGGCGGCAACGAGACCTTCGTGGCGGAGCACTACCCGGTGAGCCCCATCCTGCCACTCGCTCCCGCACCCCGACGCGGGAGGCAGCGTCTGGCGCTTCCTTGTGCAAAATGCTTGCTCGCCGCGTGCATGCTGGGCTGGGGAGTGCGCTCCTGGCGGGCAGGACGGTGGCACGGCTAAAACGCGCTTCATTTCTGCAGTAGCATCGTCTGGCATTCATGTCACTTCTCTTCGTGCTTTTTCCATATGTTTTCTTTGAGATACTTTTTTTCCTAATAATGGCATATTTCAGAGAAATAAAACGAAATATCAAAAGGTTTTTCAGTAATAGTAACAATTATTCACTTTTAGTAATAATAATTATAATAAAAATCAATAAACAATAATATGTTGTTCAAATGTTTTAATACGCTTTGTGCACTTAATATATTTCACTATATCTGCAACATAATTCAAATGCCTCTGCAGTAACTACAATATAAAGAATTGATTTCATATTATCGTATAATTTTATATCAAACCAGCAATATATTCCGTGTCTACTTTAAAGTGGTTTCAGAAATGAAAAAGTGGGTTAAGAAAGGATGAACGAAATGCGATATTTCTACTTGCACGTGGCCCTTTCGAACAACTTTATATCATTAGCTGGAATGACGGCGGCGGCGTCCCTTGAGGCGCCTAAACACTCGTGAATGAACCGAAGGCAGCACGTGCGGCGGCGTGCGCATCGCCGTGCGGTGCTTGTCGATCGCTGGCTTCGCCGTCAACCACGCGGCCACTTGACGCAAGTCGCTCCCGAGCGTTGTGTGACCCTGCGTGACAACAGCGCTCCTTTCAATTGTCAACGACGAGTGCCTGAACCTCAATAAGCTGCGCTTCTTTCTCCCCGATATTTTTCTACGTCTCGGCGTATGGATCGCAATTCTCACCATTCGAGAAGTTGTGTTTCTTGCGTGATCGACGCCCAACATTGCGATACCAACATGACTAATGATATCTTTTTCTTGTTCAGGTTGTATGGTCCGTAGCACGTTTCAGCTCTGTAGCTTATCTTGGATTAAAACAAGAAAAAGTGTTCGTAAACATGACTCGTATGTCTGAGAATGGATATGCATGTAACCTTCACGCACCTCTTACTCGTAAACAAAAACTGAGTAATAAAGAAAACTCTCTCGCATAAACCGACAGGATGCAGTTGCAGTCACAGAACTTATTAACAATGTAACAATAAATAATATCAATAACTCCATTTTCAAAAAAAATTGCCACTTTTGAGTAAACAGAAGTAATTTCAGCAAATATATAAGATTAAAGATGGATATTTTTTATATTTCAGCTTCCATAAGATGTAATTCTTTTCCTACTGCCCATTACGTTGAAAACGTGCTTTGAATAATTGCTATTAAAATGCATGAGAAGTCTACGCATAGAACTGCAAGACCGGGAGTAAGTCTTAAGAAGAACTAGTTGTTTAAAGTTCCATTAAAAGGCTAACTAGGTCTCCCTCCTCTATAAGAAAATCATTGACAGAGAAGCAGTTCCGTAAAAAGCGTTGCATGCGCTGGCGTGAACGCGCCCGCCAGCTGAGGGAATGTCAACTACCCGAGACACCGTGAGGCGTCACACTATTTGCATGTTGACGTGAGTTCACTTACCGCCTCGCACCAGAACCGATTTCAATGTTAATTCTCACCTACGACTGCGTGCTGCGAGCAGATTACTACAGTCTTAAAAATTAAGACGTGCGTTGCTTTAAACTTTCCTTTTAGTGAAGGTTTCTAGTTCACCTCTTTGGGACTAAACGTTTCTTGAAGAATTTAAATTCCAGTTCCCTTGCTCCTTTCAGTGTAACGATCAAGTGATTCCCCTCCTATCTCTGGAGAAGGTTTAGTTTTTATGGAGCTATACATGTTGTTGTTTTTAAATTTATTTTGTAGCTTTAAAGGGATACGCGATAAAGATAACCTATAAGAGTATTAGGTTCCCGTCATATTCCCGAGCCATATTCCCGTCCATCGGTGCATTGCATTTCTATAGCTGTAAAAGACTCGCCTCATCTTGCAATTACGATACGCGTGATTCTGCGATAGCGCCCTTCATCTCCTTGTCATCCACCCTTTTACTTTCTTGCCTTCTACCTACTTACGTAGAAAAGTGTAAGAATTGTAATGATGCGAAAGAAATCGGCAATTTCACGACAAAAAACTCGTATTGAGTGGTCCACGTAACGAAAAAGTGGATAAATCGTTTTTTAAACGTGGCAGTTACGCCGACAAAGAGCAATCGTAACCGATACTCCGACTACGTCAATTAACAAGTATCCAATCAATATTCTTTTATTGCGGACTCAGGAAATTTTTCTTGGACGGCACAGGAGGAATGGATTGCCCCCGCACATTGCAAGGGGGAACCCCCTTGGCTTGTCGCCAACCTCTGCCAACCACACCCAACCACACCGCCTCCCCGAAGGGAGCGTGGACGCGGGTCACGGGCCTGTTGACCCTTCCCCAAAAAATGTGTGCGGAAGGAATATGTACATCACGGAGTACATACGGTACTTGCACCGTGATTTACAAGTAATTCTAACAGAACTCAACTGCTGAAACATCTCTTTTATTTTGGGTAGGCCGTATTGAATTCCAGATAGCCATTTTCATTGACCGAAAATTATGATTCTTTCTTCACTCTAATTTTAAATCCATTAC